CCAGTTTCCAAGTTAACATGTCGATTGGTATTGGCATTATTCTGATCACATTGTCACAAACATATTGTTGCAATATTGTGGGAGTAGTTTCTTTGATATTTCTGAAAGACAAAGTCACACAGCAGACTTCCCAGTCCTGTAGTTCTTAAAGTCTTCCCATCCCCTCTCCTGAGATGTTCCCTGAGACATAGGTGTAAGAGTTGTGTTCTTGATATAGCCCCTGGGGCTGGAACCTCCACGGTTGTTCTCCGTAGTTTGAGCAGATGTGTTTTTCTGGGGTGGTCTCCATATGCTTCAAGGAGAAATTTCTTAAGGAGGGAAGAGAGCTACAGTTATCTTTGGGTATAGCAATATGTTTTAGAATATAGTAAGAAACTATGCTGGTCCAGTAAAGCAGTGGTGGTAGGTTATCCTGTAAGATCCATAGCCCTAAGCAGTTGGCTAGATTTCTAGTACCAAACATGATTTCCTTCCCGTTGAGTCTAATTGGAGAGCTAGTTGTAACTACCAAGACATAAGTACCACTATTGCATCTTTAGGGATACCTTGAAGAGTTTATAATTGTTCAGAGGTATCACAATTGGATAGGATTATTGATTGCTTCCGTGTTTTGGATCTTTCATAGCACCTTCTGCTAATAAAAAGCTAAATTTCTGGAAAGGGCTTTTATGTCAGATCAGATCCAGCTGTAATCTTCCACGTCCTATGTCCATAGTAAAAGGTGTTTTCAGCAATAGTGACTTACCCATACTGATTTATTTCTCCATCTAATCAATATTTATATGCTTATTATATTTTTCTGAGCATATAATTTATATAGCCACTAGACAAATCACTTTTACCATCACACTTTGGAGAATATCACCTGTATAATGTTACTTTTGTATTTTTTCCATTTGAACATGGAAAGTTTCTTTAAAACTGCTTTGCACCGAATGGTGGTGGAGCACGCCTTTAATCCCAGCACTTAGGAGGCAGAGCCAGGGGCATCACTGTGAGTTCAAGGCCAGCCTGGTCTACAGAGTGAGATCCAGGACAGGCACCAAAACTACACAGAGAAACCATATCTTGAAAAAAAAACTGCTTTGCATAATGAATATTTTAAATTTATTCTGTGACAATTTTATATGCGTCTGCAATGTATCCTGATCACATCCATTCTCCAACTCCTTTTCCCACCCCTAGGTACCCCAACACATCCCTGTCCCTCCTTCATGGCCTCTTTATTCCATAGCTTACTAAATTCAGTCACTGGTGCCAACATGCCCATGAGTATGGGACAATCTACTGGAATATGAGTAAACTACCAAAAGCCATACCTGTAAAGAAAAATGACTCCCTCTCCTCCAATAGACATCAACCAAAAAGAGCTCCCAAGCTAAGGGTGTAGACTCTTCTCCATTAGTGCTAAGATTTGGTCAGACTTGTATTTGTGTAGTTCTTATATAGATAACCATAACTGTGGGTTTATTACTGCAATGGTTGTGGCATATCTAGAAGACAGAATTTTTCAGCACCTCTCTCTACCTCTGAATCTCACATTCTTTACACACTGTTTTCTAGAATGTTCCCTGAGCCTTGGGGACTGGACACGAATGTATGTTTTAAGACTGTGTACTCAACAGTTACCTATTCTCAGCACACTGAACAGTTAGGAGTCTCTACACTAATTGTTAGCCATTGGGGAAAGAAAAAGTTAACTAGATCAAGGTCGAGAACATCACTGATTTATAGGTATTTACATAAATAATCAGTAGTAGCTTGAAAACATGTTTATATAGCAGAATAACACAAGTATCCTCCTCAGCAATGGACCTTTGACTAAGGTTACTATACCAGGCATGAATTCTTCCCCTACAACACACATTCAATTCAATCAGAGAGTGGATGGTTACCTCATAAAAATCATTGCTTTAGGAGTAACATATTGCCTGGAAGGTCATGATTATAGAATACAAAGTCTACCACTGAATAAAACTATTAATGACTTTTCTCCTCCATGAGTTTGTGCAGCATATTTCAACACCATGGAATCTAGTCCTCAGGGAAGAAGTGTCAAGGCTAGTTCTAGTTTGAGATCTCAATGTCCTGAAAGCTGTGTTTGCTGTGAAGACTTTTGATGACTGAGTGAAAGATTGAGTCTGACATGTAGCACTGTTCAGATTGCCCAAATTTATAACACAATATAATTTTTGTAAAGTAGAAAGATAGCCACATAGTCTGTGAATCTTTGTATCACATAGATTTAGTATTTTTCTACTCATCCATGATGTTACAAATTCAAGAATACTGTATTTTTTGTAGCTTCAGATTTTCCTAGGCTTTCCTTTAAGCTCAAGGATTGTTACTGTTGAAAGAAATACTTGTTCCAATTTTATTGAGTCATAGCCATAATATGTAAGTCCAAGAGTCTCACTCATCTTTGCTTGATTGTGTGTTTCTATATTTCTAAAAAAAAAATAATAATCATTCAGTGTTAATAGAAATCACTTAGAACAACTGCTGGGATATAGATTTCTAGAACTCACCATGTTATGATTGGGTTGTTTTGGGTTCTTTGCCTCCAATAAGATAGAAAATTTGTCTAGGTGAGGAATAGCTCTTCTGTGTTTGCTGACATAAGACACAAATCATTAAGGACCAGGGTTGTCTAGATTTGTAGATACAGAGGCTTATAGTCCCATGCCCTGACAAACAAAGTTTTATAGCTTTAAGCTTTAGAAGCTTGATAGTTTCAGGAATAGCTACTCATGGTTGAGTCTTACTGCCTTTGGTCGATCTGGACTCAGTAGCAACCAGCAGCATTTGTAATATGTGTTCAATGGCAGCTACAATTACAACTCTCTATCCTTAGATGTTGGGACACATAGCTTCTAAGAGCGGCAAGTGTTATATCTCTTGGTTCTCACGTAACAAGAACATTAGATTTTACAGCAAATAGTGTTAGTGCTCTTGGGTGCTATGACTTGGCCATGGCCCTTAGGGCTTGCCAGTTTCCTAGAACTCTCCAAATGATTAAAGTTAGGAATCTGTCATCTTTTGTTCTTGGCAGGCTTCTTGTTTTTCTCTATTCCCACTGTTACCTGCCCTACACTTCTAGATCCCATCGTCTCAACCCTATTCAAAGTCTGGAAATATTCTGTTATCTTTCTCTAAGGGTAACTGATGTTATTGAAACCATCATGTTACTAGCAAATCCCAGTCTACTAATGGTATTCCAAGAAGTCAAGAGTGATTCAGGAAAAGCCTTTGGGCCTAATGTTACCATAGCATGAGGCAGCACAAAAAGTTATCTCCTGGCTGACTCTCAAAATAAGCCAAAGGGGCTTATTATACAGTCAGTAAAGGGACACGGGATGGGTATGAAATGTGAATGCAATGTTGGAATTTGTACTAATTACCATGGTTTTCAGTTAAGCCAGTCACTGGCCTTAAATATCTCCCAATCACAGACTCCATATTCCTCTGCTCAGACATTTTGCTAAACCTCTGGGAAAATGTGACTGCTTCCACCAACTCCAAATACTGTTTGCTCGGTCATCTAGATTTCAAGGTCCTTCTTGGATGCAGGCATAGGTTGTCTGGAGAAGTTGTAACAAGAACAAAATCTTCCAGGGCAAGAACCATAGTTTCAGTTGTCATGGGCCCCATAGTTAGACTGAAATGTGCCTTAGAGGAGTAGTGGAGGGTTTAAAACTGGCAAGATGCCTTGAAGGCAATCTGGCCATGTGACAGGGAACAGCACAGCAGGAAATTCCCAAGTGAGGCCACAAAGCATGAGAAGTGATCTGAAAACTTCCATTCAGTAGGCTGTGTGGCCATTTCCCAAGACTGAAACTTATTTAGAAGAAACAAGTTAGTATGTATATCAAGACACTAAGAGCAGGATAACATTGCTAATGGTACTTTGACAGAGTGTTGTTTTCACAATGTTTACTGTGCTCGCCACTCTGCAAAATGTCTAGACAGGGTTTGGTCCCTCTATCCTCTCAGTCTGAGAACCTAGGTCTTAGGAAACTGAATTTCTTGATGTTGTCTAAGGAAAATTGATAATAGACACAGTTCTAGTTGCCTATCTGTTGTGATAGGTACACTTTAAACAAGAACAACTTGGGGAGAAAAATGGTTTAACTCAGCTTTTAAAATTCCAGGTTACAGTTCATCATTAAGGGAATTTAAGACAGGAACTCAAGGTGGGATCTTGAAAGTTGCCCTGCATGTTATTTTATATGGCACTACATTTGAACAGTGAATTTGCTTTACAGCCACAGAAGTATAGCAGGAATGATAGGCAGTATTATACATACTTATCTTTCCTATACAGTTCAGGAAAATCTGCTTTGAGAATGGTACCACACAAAGTGGGTAGGACCCCCTACATCAGTTAACAAACAAGATAATCTAGTACAATCATGTCCTCGGGCCAGTCTGATTGAGGTAATTCCTCAACTGAGATTTTGTTCCCAGTTGATTTCTAGGTTGTATCCATTTAACAATTACATCCAACTAGAACAGATATAAAAATAATATTTTACAAGTGCATAAACAAAATTTCCACTAACATAAAAATAGAAGTGATGTAACAAAAACAGCAAGATACTTCTGCAAATTGACTAGGCATAAAAAAACTAACACATGTCTGTAAATCAAGTGTTCATAAAGATGGAGGAGTTTTTTAACATTGCTAGCTGGAAGATTACTTTGAGTATAATATGGCCAGTCTTTATCATTTACCTCTTCTGTTGAGTACTGGTTGATATATTATTGGGGCTTTTCCATGAAATTTTGGTATTTATGCATTGATTTTTTTGAATACTTGATTTCACACTTTAAGTCATATTAAGTGAGTACAATAGTTAGAGCTACTAAAAATCCATTAGCATATTTAAGTATAATGCATTAGGCTTTCTGACAAAGATTGAAATGTAGACACTAAATAGTGTGTTACAAGCTAGTGGAGGCTCCATCATGTATCATGATGCATACAACTTTCAAATCTTACCGCTTCTCGGCCTTTTGGCTGAGATCAAGTGTAGTATCAAATCTTATGCTTATAAAATGTGAGTTCTATACCAAGTTTAGAGTATTATTTCCTGTTAAAGCAGGTGTTCACTTTTATAAAGAAATAATTTAAGCATCTAGAAGGTATTTATGAGTTATAATTTCATGGATGCCTATATTTATACAGTAAGAATTCAATGGTTGGTTTTTAATCTGCTCTGTTATTTATTTTTGGATGAAGTTATTACCTTTATAACACATTATTAATTTTCAATTTTTTAAGAATCTACCTAGAGTAAGTGATATACAAGATACAATACTGAGAATTCCATAACACTAAATTCTCTTGACCTTCATAACAATGGTGTTGAGGTTACATGCACCTTGAAGAGTACTAACTGAGCCAGAAAGATTTGTAGTAAACTGTTAAAGCACAGCCAGTACTAGTAGAGACTGAATTGAGAATTGCATTCTGGCTCCTGAGTCTATAGTTACAACTTTTATGCTGTGTTTCATGTGAATAAGCAATCCTACCATAGGTGAGATCATTATTAATAGGAAAGAGTACTACCAGACAGGGAAATCTAAACCAGGTGTTCTCACTCCCACTTCTGTAGTTTGTATCATAAATGGAGATCAGAACATATTTTTATAGTTAAATCCAGATCATCATTAGAAATAATAATATTCCAGCCACTGTACTTAATATTAAATTACTTCATATAATATTTTATAACTGCATTTAATATTTTTTGAATTATGAAGTTAATGTTTTAAATGTTATTGTTTTCGAGATAAGGAAATGATTTTTAAATGAGGTTAGAATTTACACAGGGTAATACAATGATATTCAGAGACATATGTAAACAGAAACACTGATTTACTATAGAATCAAAAATCCAAAATTATTCAGCTCTGGGTTTAGGGGTTTAAAAAGGCACACTATCACAAATCAACATGCCAAAAATTCTTCTTTTTAAACTCACAGTACAACTCCTTTTACATGAATAGATCACAAACAAATTTGCTGTAATTTAAGCTCCATGTACTCGAGAGATCTGATTCATTCCAGGGATTTGTCTACTTATCCAACAATCACTAACTGAGTCTTTGCCATTCACTCTCTCATTTATTCATCAACATGCAATTGTTGAGTGCCTAGAATGTCCTGAGAATTCTTAAGCTCACTATGGATCTGAGGTGAACAAAAGAGGAAAAGGACTCCGAAGCCCTGGCACTTGTACCACAGTCAGTCGTTTCAGGGTGAAAGCTGGTAAATAGGTAACACCTGAAAGAGCAAGGTAATTTCAGAAAATGGTAGTTACTGCAAACTCAATCAAACAGGATCACGAAATGAAAGTTGTTGCAGCAATTTGTAAGGAAGTCTTTTAAAGAAACCATTTGACAGAGAACACAGACACAAGAAAAGGAGCCGAGCACGTTCAGATCATTCTGGGGTGCAGTAATTTGCCCTGTCAAACACAGTGGGGATGTCTTCTCGTTATTATCCTTTGATCTTTCTTATCCTGGACTTCTTCATCAACTTTTGCTATAGTTTCCTAACTGATACTTCTGGCTCCATTCTCTCTGGCTTCTCGTTTAACACAGTTCTCCGGAAAGGCTTACGATTTTGAAGCACAGCTCCTGCCATTTCACTCATTCACTGTAATGATCTCTTTGCATTTTCTCAGTCTACACTAGCTTGCACAAACTCTAAATTGTGCCATTATATCTTTCTCATGGCAATTCTCCAGCTACAGTTTTCAGTGTTTGCTTTCCTATTAGCAAACCTCATTCACGATGATTTATTCAATCATTCTCTCTTCTGTAAAAACTTTTATCCTTCCCTCATACATTGCATCCTGAACTCAGTATCACCTCCCGCCATTCCTCCCAGTCCCTCCCGGCACTCTACCTCTTCCAGATCAACTCCTTCTCCATTTTCAAGAGAGAGGGAGAGGGGGGGAGGAGGAAGAGATAGATAGATAGATAGATAGATAGATAGATAGATAGATAGATAGATAGATAGATAGATAGAGAACAGGTGTCCTGGAGTTACCACCAAACAAGGTGTAATAAGTTACATAAAAACTAGACATAAATGATTTTATCAAGGCTGGAAGAGTCAACCCAGTAGGAAGTGAAAGGACCCAACCATAGGCAAAAGTGTCAGACACACCCCCACTTCCATTGTTGGGAGTCCTACAAGAAAACCAAGCTACAGGACCATAAGAGATATGCAGAGGATCTAGCCCAGACCCATACAGAGTCTGTGTTTGTTGATTCAGTCTCTGTGAGCATTTATGAGCCCTGTTTAGTTGATACTGGGCAGTAATTCTTAATGTTACTTCATATCAGAAATTTTGTTTCAGTTGATCTGTAACCCTAAAATATCTGAAACTTTAAATCCACAAACATCCAAATGTTCCCATGTTTCTTATTCTACTGGTTTTTGGAGTCTCAAAGTTATAATTCTATTCATGCTAAAGATTGCCCAAAAATACTAAATTATTTGAAATCCTCCTCTTATTGTGTCCATATCTAGAAATTATTTTCTTATTACTAATTTTAATCCCTAGAACAGCTGTAAGAGTCTTTTCAAGTTTAAGGTAATACAATTTATTTCATATCTTTTCTTACTGATGTCACAGTAATTCTCACCAGAGATTCATCCTATCATTATGTGCACATATCGATATTTGGAATGTATACAATAGTTTCATGCCTTCCTACACTTCTTTAATTAGAATTGACTCTGAATAATGCGATTTTGCCCTCTGTGAAACTGCCTTGAACTCACTTAACTCACAGGGATTCTATAGCTTGGATGCCAGGCAACCATATCAGATCACTACTTTTTCTTTCATTGGGAAAGAGTTCACCATCTCACAGGGTCACTTTGCATTTTTTAAAGCACAAACATTTTCTATACTTACTCCTTTAAGGAAATTGCATTCCTAGTCCTGTGTTCTTGATGATTATGTTCTGTAAACAATTTGTAATCTATATATTGTAACAGACTTTTCTGTATTATCAACTTCAGAACCCCTCATTTAAATCCATTTTTACTTCTCAGTTGAGCAGAAAGGTAGTTGTTTATTTATTTAACAACAAAAAACATCAACTGTATAACTCTTAGAAGTTAAAGTAGGAAAACAAAAAAAAATTCAGGAAAATATTCACCATTTTACAGTTACTATTTTTGTGACTAAATATATAAAAATAACCAAAATAGAAGGTAGGTTTTATGAAATGTAAAAATGATTTTCATTCTAGCAGTGAAGGATGTGTGTGTGTGTGTGTGTGTGTGTGTGTGTGTG